CACTCTTTCCCAACATCAGGGTCTTTTCCAGGGAGTCTTTTCTTCTCGTGAGATGGCCAAAGTACTGGAGCCTCAGCTTCAGGATCTGTCCTTCCAGTGAGCACTCAGGGTTGATTTCCTTTAGAATGGATAGGTTTGTTCTCTTTGCAGTCCAGGGGACTCTCAAGAATCTCCTCCAGCACCACAATTCAAAAGCATCAATTCTTCGGCGGTCAGCCTTCTTTATGGTCTAGCTCTCACTTCCATACATCGCTACGGGAAAAACCATAGCTTGGACTATGCGGACCTTTGTTGGCAAGGTGATGTCTCTCCTTTTTTTTTCTTTTTAAGTTTAGCAGTATCTAATACATAAGTAAGGGCCGAAATCCTATCATTTTACAGTTCTTGGCATACGTCCATCAGTATAAATCTCAGCACTGAATTGTCACTAGCTAAGTAATCAGTACAGACATTTGGTGTCGCACATCAATTGTGTGATCTGGCACACAACACAATGCCAATTCACTTTTGAAATCTATGGTGATGGCCTTACACCAGTATAATTCTTCAGCTGGATTCTAGCCAGTGTTTTTTTTTTTTTTTGGGGAGACAGAAAAATCTGCATACATTTGGGTAAATTCTCACATGCATCCCTTTCCAGTCAACTAATGTAACATGAATTGGGAAAATATAATCCTATCTTGGGATCCTTGGTGGAAAAAAGAGTGGAAAAATTATATTCCTATGCTTACGCTGGGCCTCCAACTGCTTGTGAGTAGGCAGCAATTTTACTCATGCTATCATAACAAAAGGAACGTACCACTGCTAATAGTTTGTTTGATGATGTTTTTCTATAGTTTTATGGATCGTAAATTAGAGGGATTTTGCTGCCTGTCCTACTGGAAATCTTCCATCCATATTCTTCTGTTCTACAACAGGAGATGTATTCTTATCAAACACAACAGAATCTATTGAAATTGAGTGCAGGATAACCTCAAATAGCTCACAACTCTTTCTGGGGTCTTCTTGGCTATTGACAAAAGCTATCCCCTGATAGCTTTCACCAGACTCCCCAGCAAGTTCACTGGCACATTTTTCACTCTTGCACCAGTAGCTGAATAGGCCTGGGGATAGCCCCAGTGAGGAAGGTCACAGCAGGAAAGGCTTGTATTTTATTTTATTTTATTAGATTAGATTTATACCCTGCCCATCTAGACCAAAGGTCTACTCTGTAAGTGTACAATGACAATGGTGGCAGGTGAGACAAATCTCTCCCTTTTGCCTCCCCCTCTCTAAACAACAAGGAGTCTGGCACACCTTCTCCCAGAGGTACTGGGTCAGGTTGGATCAGTCTTACTGGACACCCTCAGTCTCTCCCTTTCTTGTATTTTCTCCCTCCTCTCTTTTCTCCCCAGAAGGAATGTTTTTAGGGAACCACAGCATTGCTGAATTGTTTGGCTTCTGCTTTCAAGAACCTCAAGGAAACCAGTCCATAAATCCTCTTTTCGTACATATTCTCACTCTTCTGTTGGCAGAGAGTGAATTTTTTGTGTCTCTATCTGTTGGCATCCTTCAGTCTCGAGAGACTATGGTAACGTGCTCTGAATAGAGGTCTTGGAACAGCGTCTAGTGTGGCTGAGAAGGGCAATTCGAGAGTGACAATCCCTTCCACAATGAAGACAAATACAACCTGTCCCCTGTCCAGCTCCCTGATTTTGCTGGGTTTCGGATTGCCTCTTTGCCTTGGCCTGCTGAACAAGTGCCTCTTCAGATTGGGAGAGGCCAGGTTGTACCGCCTGCCTCCAGGCTGAACACTCAGATGTCAGGGTTTCCCGTCTGTTGAGGTCCATTCCTAAGGCCTTCAGACCCCGCTTGCAGATATCCTTCTATCGCGGCTGTGGTCTCCCTCTGGGGCGCTTTCCCTGCACTAATTCTCCATACAGAAGATCTTTTGGAATCCGACCGTCGGCCATTCTCACGACATGCCCAGGCCAACACAGACGTTGCTGTTTCAGTAATGTATATAT